TTGAGATACTCGAAGAAAGATTTATGCACATTGTCCTTATTTTCAAATCTGTAAAAGCCCACGCTATCTTGGCCCAATCCAGGATGCATCCCCAAATATTTTGGATGGGGCATCAAGGTCTAGCTATCTATCAATCAATTTGTCTACCTATCTGTCAATATATCTGTCATGTATCTATTTTGTGACAGACATTCAGAATGGATCTGAGATGGGCATTGGATTCTTCATCCTTCTGCTTCATCTTCCTGAGGACTGGGAGGAGAGGCTGAGTTTTATCACTGAGGGCTGAAAGTGTCATGTTTCTTTATCTTCTTCTAGTTCTTCTTTAGATTAGAGAGAGAGAGAGAAGCTTCATTATTCAAAATTTGTGGAACATTCTTAATTTATATTTTTCTTTTATAGGTGCATGTGATATCCTCAAGAATATTATAAGAAATTATACAACTTATATGATACCTTTATGATTTCCGATTAATGAAATTTGATGTTTTTGTGTCTTATATGATTGAGACTTCTGGAACAGAATAGACCACCCTCAACTTTATTTCCTCTAACTACTTATCCGGATGACTGTGTTCTTCAGCTCTAGCTTTTATCTTCATTGCAATAAATGATACTCATTTGCAACATCAAAAATTACTTTTATACATTTAGGTATTGATAATTTTCTCTTGTTTAGACATTCCATTGGAAACCCTAAATGTTCTGTAGTATGTCCTCAAGTCCTTCTAATGATTAGATTAGATTGGTTTTCCTGAAATATCCTTTACTTTCCTCAAATTTGATGTAAACATCAGGCATATTACTAAAGTCTTGGGCTTTTTCAGTCTAGTTTGAATTTGCTCTGAGGTTTTGAGTCAGCTAATTATATGTAGCTTTTCTTGTCAGCCTGCTGAACCTGAGCTAAGGAAATAAAACAGTTATTGTGGGACAAAGGCCTAGCTATAAAAAATATCCTAGTATTATTTGTATTCATCAAAATCATACAGCTTAAGAGGAAATCATCTTCCTGACAATCCACAGATTAATCTGCCCAGTAAGTGGAGAACACACTACTGGTAGACTGTAGGAAGAGTCATATAGCTGTTCCAAGGGAGAATTTTGGTGGCACACAAGAAAATTATAGACAGAAGCAATCAGTCATTCACAGGCAGTGGCCTCATAAGCCTCTTTGACGAGGTTCATCCATCAGAGAATTATTCATCTGGTGGATTGACCTTATGAATATCAGTTGTCATCTGCTACATATTTTGTGGCTTCTGGCAGGGAGGGAGAAAAGAATGGGGTAAGGGAGGAGGAAAACACAAGTTTTCATTGTGTATAAATATAAGGAAACTTTCTGGTTTTAGCAATGACTCATGTCACTTACAATCTATGTGATTAGTGACAAATATGAGTTCCGTGTGTCCTCAGGATCTGAAGGTTTCCTTCTAGATAAAAAGAGTAAGTGTTAAATGTTAATTTCTATAGTTAATTAAAAACCGAATTCCAAAAAAATGCAAAATGAGACAACAGCTGAACACAGTTATGATTCTACCAATACAACGCAGAGTTATACTGTAGGCTCTTGTTTTGCACTACACTAAGGAGATAATATATTCTCAAGAATGCAGAATTGTCTTTGAGAAATATTTTCACTACCTTTCTGACCTCATTCAGAATAATGTAAACTTTGCATCCAATGTTCTATTTTTGCCCTCAGAATACCACTGCCATTTAGAATGAAGATTTTGGTCGAAGACCTTCAGGAAGCTGACAATTAGTTTTCAAATGATATGTGAGAAGGATTTTCCACAGAAACTTTTGAAGTCTAAATCTTAGGGTTATTTTCAAAGAAACCCGTTTTTGGTTTCTGCCAAGTCCTGATGGCCCTGCACTGGTGACGCTCCTGCTTCAGCCCCTGCGTACTGAGATTAGAGATATGAACTACCACACTTGGCACTGTTGAGTGAGGTCTCTGAAACAGAGACAAATGTGTGACTTTCCTCACCACCCCGTTTGTCCTATTTAGTATTTAGCACCAGGGATTGTATTGGTGACATTTCTGTTGCTGGGATAAACACCACGACAAACATGACTTGTAGCAGGTATACATCGTGGTAAGTGGTAGGCATGGACGCAGGAGCAGGAATCTGAGTGCACACTCTCAGTCACAAGCATGACGCAAAGAGAGTGAGGTAGTGGATGAGGCCACAACATCTCAAAGCCTGTGCCCAGTGATGTGCTCCTTCAGGCACAGCTGCACCTCCTAAAGAGCCCTGACAACACCGTGAACCTGGGAACAAGTGTTTAACTACTGCAGCCTATGGGGGACGTTATCATTCAACCAACACACAGATGTCTCAGAGATGTGGACCTGGCCATGGCACTCTTCAGGAACTCCCTCACAGTTCCCCAGAGCTCCTACAGTGAACTCTACAGTGCTATCACAGCATCACTTTTCAGCTTCCACCACAGGCTTTCCAGAAACTCACCCTGAAGTTCTCTTTGCCTTGAACTGTTTGTAGGCTTCCCCCTCACTATCCTGCTCTAGTATCCCTTTTCCTCCTCTTAATCTCAAACATAATCAAGGGTTTCCCTTCAACTTCTACACTTGATCAAGTTCCTCTGAAGAAACAGAACATCTCCCCCATTCTTTGGTCTCTAAACTGCCAGTGAAAGCTATGTTGTTATCACTGACCTGCCCCAATCACTGCAATGCAAAATGAGATTAGATTATCTGTAATGTTCAGTCTGGAAGCCCTATATGCATTATATTACCTGCCAAGTAGTAGATTTCCAGTTGGCATCCATGAGTGAATGAATGTAATACATGCCATATGTAAAGTGCAGAGAGTGCAGAAGAGGCAAAGGTATGTTTGAAGTGCATTTGAAGTGTAATCCTCTGGGGAGACAGTCCCCAGCTTTAACCTGGGTCTCAGGCATCTCTGGAATACACATCACCTTCACCTGCACAAGGACTCTGAACATCATGTTGGACAAGGCTTCCAACCATCCCAGCACCTCCACTGTTCATAGACAAGGTTTTGGCGTTCAGGTGACCAGCCCATCACTAGGCTGAACCCAGTCTCCAATCCCTAGTACATGCTGGGATGCCACACTTTCCACTCTTCCCAAAACATGCCTACAGTGAAGGCACGCATCAAGACATAGGGATTATAGGCAGTAGTTTGTTCATTCATGCCCAGGTGGGCACCATGTGGGGCTAGGACACAATCCACCAGGATAACTGAGCTCCATCTTGGGCCACTAGGTCACAAGTGGAGGCCAGACAGGCTAGAACCAAGGGACACTCAAATTGGAAACTAGAGAGAAAAAATCAACCAAAAATATGAAGATGTAAATGAAGTGCCACACCCAGGCACGGTTCTAGGGATTTGACTGGGCTGTGGGCCTTGCCATTCCTCCATGGGTCTGAGGCTCTGGGCTCCTTGACATGACCATGTCTCTGTAAACAACACACATTCACTCAGGACATCACTCACTCAGGCCTTTCTGAGCTCCCCAGTGTTCAGTGTGTGTGTTTTCTTACTCTTCTTCTTTATGATCTTCCTCTATCCAGCAAAGGTGCCAGGTCATATAGTCCATGAGCACTGGCCCAGGTCCCCATGGAGAGCCACACCAAGAGCAGGTAAATGAACAGATACATGCAAAGAGTGTCTTAGTTACTTTCCCACTGCTGTGATAAATCATCATCACCAAGGAGCCTTCTAGAAGAAGAAGGAGTTTCTTTTGGGCTTACAGTTCCAGGGGAAAACAATCCATCACCTTCATAGCAGGGAGCATGATGGCAGGTGAGTGTGACTGGTGCTAGACCAGCAGCTGAGAGCTCCCATCTCAGCCCACAAACAAAAAGCACACAGAGAGCTAACTCAGAAGGACAAAAGTCCTTAGAAATCTCAGAACCCCATCCCCAGTGACAAACTTCCATCAGCAATGCCATACTCCTAATCATCCTGAAACACCTACCACACTGAACCAAGCATTGAAAGGTCTGAGACTTATGTAGGACATCTTATTCAAACTACCACTAAGGAGGAGACCAGGCATCTGGCACTCACTGAGCGCTGTCTCCTCTTCACGCTGTCCATCACTGCCTGCCAGACTTCCTCTAGCAGACCTGGCCTCTGCTCATGCCCTCATTCTCCAGAAGGCCAGAGAGGCTAAGCCAGCGGTACATAGTTACACTAGTGTCTTGTGATGGACAAGGTGGCTATGGACCTGGAGACGTCTGATGAGGTTTGCCTAGAATTATCTTTTCCTCTATTCATCCTTGACACCCCTCCAGCCCTCCTCAGGTCCCATGCCCACCCATGCTACCTGAACTTCCTGGTGTTACCTCATTTGTTCTTCAGAACAGTCCCCGATATGGGCATCATCATGTGGCACATATTACAGGCAAAACATCTTCCAGAGAATTGAAGAATTTATCCAGGCTCCCCTCTAGAGTGACAAGCTTAGATCTTGGTCAAGACATTAAGTCTGAACTCGGTAGCCATATACCTGACCATTCTCCAGCATTCCCATCCCTTCTGCTGAGCCCCTGGGGATGCTGGTCCCAGCAGGCAGGAGTGAATTTCGGTGGTTCTGTTGACGTTACACAGCATCTTCACCCACCAGTACCCTGCATGCAGCACTAGAATCTCCTCCCTCAAGGCCAGGGCTAGACACAAGTGCTGCCTGATTCAGAAACATCGCCCAGATCCCAACATCAGCAGCAGAAGAGTTTGCACACTCAAGTGCCCCTGCCTGCAAGTCTTACTCATTTTCTTAACCAGCTGGGTAGCCCCAGGGAACCAGTGGGAACTGGGCTCCTTCCTGCTTTACCAGTGTGGAGCAGCTCTCTGGTCCTCTATCCCAGACCAGCAGCTCTAGGTGAGGTGTGCCCTACTCCTGCGGCCTGCCCACCCCAGCCTGCCCACTCCATCCTGAGCAGCTTCAAGAGACAGCACGTGCTGAAGTTGGACACAGTGCGCAGGCGCAGCAGACAGACTGGCAGAGTTTGCGCACACACCACTTTGGCTACACAGGAAAGAGAACATGGACTCTGCCTTCTCTAACTGGAGCTGGCAGGAAAAGAAGGGGCTCCTGGAGCTGATGGAACAGAGCTGGTGAATCCTAGTTCAAGCATGCCCTGAGCCTGGTGACCAGGGTGAGCTGAGTGTGCCAGCCGTTAACCGCCACCAGGCTGAGCGGGAGCCGGAAGCTGTTGGAATGCAACGGACATGGGAAACCTTGGGTACCCTCCTCACCATCAGGAGCTTGGATAGGACCCAGAAGCAATGTAGGACGTCCTGCAAGGAGTAAGGTGTGAATTAGGAGGGCTGGGAAGGAAGAAGGTGGAGGGGAGGGTGTATGAGACTTGAATTCTTTGGGGGCTGGGAGAGACCTAGGGGCAACTTGTGGGCCAGGGACAGTGAACCTCTGAGCTCTCTGAGGAAAGGAAACTGCATTGATCACTGGAGGAGGAGTGTGGGAAACAAGCCAGCCCTGCAGGGTCCAGTAAGTCTCCCATGAGCTGCAGGAAAATCGGAGAACTGAAGAATCCAATGTGCAGGAGGAAGGGACAGACGCCTGGGTTTTTAATGAAATGTGGAGACCTTGGGAGACGCTTGGGTCAGACTCCAAGAACCTTAGAAGAGAGGACCCCAATGACCACAGGGGACAGTCCAGACCCTGTCCCACTGTTTAATTAGGTCAGAGCCACAATCTGCAGGGGAGGGCTGTCCTTCCTAGGGGCAGGCAGTCCGCTTGGCAGGCAGGCAGCTGAGGAGGGCTCGGTACAGGGCAGTCGGGCTCCAGCGAGGCAGCTTCTTGCTTGCCCTTGGTGTCTCTGGAAGGTTGTGTGGGAGACCCCATGAGGGGCAGGCTTGGGGTTCAGCACATTGACTGAGAAGCCAGCAGCCTCTGCCTTTTTCACACTCCTCCAACAGCCGGAGTATGAAAGGAGGCAGGAAGTGTTGAGGACAGAGCCAGTGGAGCTGACAAAGGCAGATGCCTCCTGCAGCATCCTCAGGTTCTCTGCTCTCTCTTCTTCTCCAGGATCTCTGCAGAGGTGAAGGAAGCCTCCCTGCCCTGCTCTGCCTGAAGGCTTCAGATGTGGCGGGGCTGGGGTCCCTCTGGGAAAGACAGGAACTTTATTTATTGGTCAGACCTGTCAGCATTTGCACGGCCCTGCCCAGGCTGGTTCCTGCTTTAGTGATGTGCTGCCCTCCATGGTGTTGAGAGAGGAAGGGGAGGCCGACAGGCTGTGCTCAGGAAGGTTTTTACAACCATGAGCTCTGCTTTGTGCTTATTGCAGGCCTTTGTTGAGAGTAGGGTGTTGGTTTTCACCTAGGGAAGGTGGTGGAGAGACTGTGTCCTCCTACTGAAGCCTATGTGGGTGTTTGAGCAGAAACAGTTTAGAGCCCTGTCCATTTCAACTAAATACTTTTTTTGAGTTTGTTAATAGAGTATGCCCTGCTTTTATGCTTTGTCTAGACCTGGTTTCATGAAGGCAATTAGTTACTTAGGTGATTTCCAAATACTAGTCATTCTATTTTTTTCTATAATTGGTTTCTTGGTTTCTATAAAACCAAGGCTAATGCTAAAGCCAAAGAACTCAGGCTAGGGTGTTCTCTCTCCATCCCTTGTTGCTCTGACAAGAGAGTTGCATGTTTTATACTACATTTCCTTGTAGGAGATAAAGGCCTTCTACAAACATCTCAAAACTATAATATGTTAGTTTAACACAGTGTTCTGGCACAGACTTGGATGTTTTCTGTCTAAGGCACAATGCAACCAGATGCATAAGCATGTACTTGGGCCGATTCCTGGCCAATGTCAATTAGTTGTTGTAACAGCAGAAGACTGGGCCAACATCACCAGGGAAAGTGGTCTGTGTGTGCAGAAATCCAAAAGTGTTAGCAGATATGCCAAAAGAAATAGATTAATGTTCCCTCATATTCTCAAATGTTAGGACTTGCCGTACTTGCATCTAGGTGGAGGAACAGGAGTATCCAGGAAGGGCCATTAGCCCACATGAAGTTCTTTGTAACATGCAAACTCAGAGGCCAAACGTTCCCCTGGGGAGAGTCCCGTTTGGAACAGGTTTTGAGTTGAACATCCCCAGGGCTGTCATGTGAAGAACCACAGGGAGGTTTCCAGGATGCTGCGTCCCTGTGATGCTCCATGAAGGGGCTCCCTCTTAGATTTTAATTGTTTGCTTTGGATTAACAGTGGCTGGGCTGCGCTCTGGAGAGGATGGGGACTGGGCTCCAGCTGAGGTACTTGTACCTTTCTCAACTTCAGCCTGACTCAAACCCTCCCGTGGTGGTGGGTTCTGGTGCTTGAGAACATGGTCCAGGGCACCTAGCCTGCATGCTGGGCTTCTGTGCTGGGTCCTAGGGAGGCGGGAAAAGCAGCACCTGCCCTGAGAAGACCTGTGCTTCTCTGAGGGGGGAATGAGTTCAGAGTTTGTAACCAACCCTCTCCTCAGAAAGGTCCTTAGGCCTTCTCCTGTCCTGCAGGAGTGACTAGAAGGAGGAGGTCCATTAGCTAAAACACAGGTTTCTGAGGTGCGTTCTGTCCTGGGTGATGTCATGATCTTATTACTGCTGACAGCCCAGGGGCAGAGAGGGGGTAGGCCAGGTTCTGAGTGGAAGCCAGGAACCTGACAGAGTGGTGCATTGGGAATGGCAGGATTAGAAAACAAGCTTTGCTCTTTGGTCTCCATGCCATGCTGACCCTCAGGACTAAAGAGCAGAGTTCCTGCTGAGACTGCTGTTGAGGGACAGCCCAAGGCTGGCAAGTGCAGACTCTTGGGGTACAGTGGCTCTTTGTCCTTGGCGGCCATGCTGGGTGGAAAGACACACCATACAGTGTCTTCTTAAACTTTACCCTAAAAGTGCCTGCCGTTTCCTCCAAACACTTCTGTGGAGGCCCACAAAGATTGGCTGGTGAGATCTGAGCTTGCTTTACCCAGCAGAGCTACATTAGAGGATTGCTTGACCATGAGCATGGTTACTAGGTGATTGGAAGGGTCTACACTTGGCTGAGCTAGGGGGAGGTCTTTTGCCCCACCCCTTGGCATTCCTATAAAGAGTCCTTTAGAAGAGACAGAAGGGGCTGGTGGAGAATGATCCAGGCCTCTCGAGGATATCCTGTGTTTCTGTTTCTCTCCCCTCTATCCTTCTATCTAGTATCTCTTATCCCTCTCTCCTCAAGAGTACCTTGTCTTAAAATGTGGGTGCCGGTCTCCCCAGCTGGGCTCCCACACACTTCCTGTTCACTCTCCAGGGAGGGTTCCAGCACCTTTGGGTGTTCTATTGTGGCACCCAGTGCTCAGCTCAACTGTTCCACGATCCCGAACACTGCCTGGATCTCACTGTCTTCAACAGAATGGAGCATGTTGGGAAGAGTTTGTCTCCAGTGTCTGTGTGTGTTTAATGGAAGGCACCATATGCTTAGCTGTGTAAACTGATCCCTGATCTTTATCCTGTTGTTTCAAGTGTCACACCAGGAGACTTTCTAATTAGGTGTGTGTGTGTTTGTGTGCAGGAACACTCACATGTGTGTTCATGTGTGTCCATGTGTGTGTGTTCCTGATCCCTGTGCCTATCTTTCCCTCCACCCCATGAGGCAAGGGCTCTAGCTGGTCCCTCCAGCCTACCCCAGCACTCCTCTGCCCCCACCTGCTGAGTGCTGGAATTGCAGGAGAGCGGCCTTGAGTGGCAGCTGTTTAATCTGAGGCCTTTCCCTGTCCCAGCATTCCTGTTTCTTTCCTGGAGCATCAGGATTCCTGTGGTGGTTATAAAGAGAAATTTTCTGACTCATTCTTTCTGTCAAAATGAACCGGAAGGAGACATTCTCTTCCCTCACTTTCTCTGACCCTCTTCCATGTTCTTCCTTAATTTATCTCGTTTATCTTATGAATTGTCCAATTATTCTTAAACTAATTGCTCAATCATTTTTCTTGCTGTACCTTCTCAAATGAACCACCAAGTGGTCCCATGTCAGCCTTGGCCATGGCTCCGGAGTACTTTTGATGAGAGTATTCACAATTTTACCACACTTTCCTGATGTCCCACACCTGCATCTGTGTGATTATTCAGGAAAGAAAAGACGGAGGAAAATGAGTCTTTATAAAGCACATTCATTTTCTTTTGCCTTTGTGTCCTAGTAATACAACTGCTCATGTAGTATTATATATCGAGAAGCAATTAGATGAGGATCTAATTGAATGGGAGGAGGTTCAAAGGTTAATGTAAATACTGCATATGTGATGTAAAGACCTGAACTTGTGTGGACTTGGGTATTGGGCAGGCCAGGTCATTTCCACAAATGATGGAGAAAAGTCTCCATTTCTCTACTTTCCAAAACCTCTTCTCCTTGCTCTTTGCCTCTGACCCTAACTTTTTTTTTTTTTTTTTTTGGTTTTTCGAGACAGGGTTTCTCTGTGTAGCATTGCGCCTTTCCTGGAACTCACTCTGTAGACCAGGCTGGCCTCGAACTCACAGAGATCCACCTGGCTCTGCCTCCCGAGTGCTGGGATTAAAGGTGTGTACCACCACCGCCCAGCAACCCTAACTTTTTATATTTTATGGGCTTGGTTTCTTATAGGTTTTTTTTTTGTGTGTGTGTATGTGTTGTATGAATGTGTATATGGAATTTGCATGCAAGTATGCAGGTGCTTGTATATGGAAATGTGTGTCTTCATTTTTCACTTCCCAACTCACTTTTAGAAACAGCATCTCTCACTGGACTTGGAAAAATGTCCAGTGGGTCCCAGAGACTCACCTGTGTCCCATTTCTGCAGCATGGAAGTCAGCAGATTCCATCATCCCACCTGTTTTTTTTTTTTCATGGATGCTGGAGATTCAGACTCAGGTCTTCTTGTTTGTACAGCCAGAACTGTATTGTTCCTGAGCCTTGCCCCACACCCCCTGAATTGTGTTAGTTTAGAATGTTACGCATAAAGCAGGGCTGTGTCTACTGAGCTGCCAGTACTTCTAGGCCCTATGGTGAGAATCTGGGAGTAGATTTGGTTTGTAGGTGTGATGGTTTGTTTGAGTCTCGTGGGAAGAAGAGTCTCTAGGAAGGATGGCCTAGATTGGGGTGGCCTGTGCTCATGACTTTGAGGATCCTAGGAATTGTATTCACTGATACACAGCTAGCTACTGTGGTTAGCATCCTTCCCTGGGTTCGGGTCCCAGACTCTGCCAGAGTGTGAAGGAGCACAGAGTGCAGTTGTGAAATCATTCACTCTCTCAGGTGAGGGTGGGTGTGGTGTGACTAGCAGCTTGAAGCTCCCACTGTCTTGCGTTCCCC